TTTTTTCTCTTGTCGATTTAGGATTAGCTTGTTTTACCAATGCAGAAATAAAGCCTTTTCGAATTGATTTTCAATTAAAACAATAAAATATTTTTTAAAAAACCTCTTGGGAAAAAAGGGTGAGAGATACAGAATGCATTCGAGGAAGAAAGTCAAAACAGGCTGTGGATTGTGGAGCAAGTTTGAGATGCTACTCGTAGGAGGAACTCAGAAGTATACCGTGTGGGTTGATCAGGGACTTCCGATGTTTTGCAGAAAAAAAACATTTACTGAAGGGAGCTCAGTCCCTTCTGCAGAAGCTGCACCATGACGGGATAGACGGGGGCAAATTCTTTCCCTTCTCTGCTTCTTACCGATTGAACATAAGCTTCCAGGGCCCCCCTGCTTAAAGAGAAAATATACTGGAATTAAACTTTTTTTTCTTCTCATTATAAAACTAACAATACCGTAGCTTTCAAAAGGATCGTTTCTTTATTGCTTAGGTCTTAAATGACTGACCTTATCAAACCCTATCATGTCTCTCTCTTCTCTCTTTCTCTTCCCTCTTTTCTTCTCTCGTTTCTTCTCTCTCTCTTCCCTCTTCTCTTTTTTCTCTCTTCTCTCTTTTCTCCTATCTCTATTTCCTCTTCTCTCCTCTCTCTATTCCCTCTTTTCTCCTCTCTATTCTCTCTTCTCTTTTCTCCTCTGTCTCTATTCCCTCTTTATTCTCTCTCTTCTCTTTCTCTTCTCTCTCTCTGTTTTTGTGTGTGTGAGTGCAGGTAGTCCTCGACTTATGACCACAGCTGAGCCCAACATTTCTGTTGCCAAGCAAGACATTTCTTAAGTGAGTTTTGTCCCATTTTACGATCTTTCCTGCCCCGGTTGTTAAGCGAATCACTGCAGTTGTTAAAGTGAGGAACACGGTTGTTAGGTGAACCTGACTTCTTCACTGACTTTGGGAATGGACATTGGAATAAGACCCATTCCGTTCATAACTTCCCAGGAAATTGTAAGTTTTCCAAGGAAATGAATACCTGTGCAAAGAGAATTACAACCTTATTCTCTGAGTTAAGTGAATCGCTGCAATTGTTCAATTAGTAACCGGGTCATTAAGCGAATCTGGCTCCCCCCTTGACTTGGCTTCTCAGAAGGCTGCAAAAGGGGATCACTAGGACACCGCAACCGTCATAAATGCGAGTCAGTTGTCGAGCATCCGAATGTAAATCACGTGAGCATGGGGATGCTGCAGAGGTCATAGTTGTGAAAAACGGCCCTAAGTCACTTTTTAAAAATGTTGTAACTTTGAACATTCACTAAGTGAACAGTTGTAAGTAGAGGACTGCTGTATCAATGTAGCTATAATTAATTCTTCCCAGAAAGCACTGGTATTTCCAGCAAGTTTGCTTTAAAATGTACACCAATCTTATCTTCCTAATCTATCCATAATAGGCAAGGAAGTTGAAGATGTTTATCAAAAATGAGACTGAAATATTCCTAAATTAACCCCCCAAAATAAAATATGTCTGACCGTATTAAAATGAGTCGCTCTTTTTCTGCCGGATGGTCATCTAGCCACCGCGAGTAACGGGCAATGGTCCAGTCTGCTCTCTATAATTAATAAATAAAATAATAATCTCTATGTTTAAAAGAGAAATACCACTCATGCATCATCACAAAATCTCCAGAACTGTAAAGCCTACAAACTTGAAATTTGGCGTGTATGTTCCTCTTGGCTTCTAGGTGCTCACTAAGGAAGGATTTTTCCAAATGACCATCAGAGCATTAGAATTTCCTATATTCTTATTATTAACATGCTCTGATGCTAAGGAGTTCTACTCCCCCTCCCCACCTGAAAAGAAATCTCTTCCTAATACAAAACACAGAGGAGTTTCAGAGCACCAAGCAGCTTTAGTACAGAACAGTTGAGCTAAACCATGCCAGAGCTCCTTGCTGTCTCCTTCCTCACAGCAAATACTGCTTCAGTTTCCAAACAGCCCTCAACTCTCAAACACTGACAGGATGCTAGCTAGATGAATACTGATGGATGCTAGTAGGCAGAGGCACAATTTTTCCCCCTCGTTTTCCTCCCCAAAAACTAAGCCCAAACACATAATTCGCAGGGTTATCGAGCTAGTAAATAATAAATTGAAAAGGCTTATTAGTGACACAATGTTGTGTGCCAAGTGTGTGCATGTGCATGCGTCGCTCGCTTGTATGCCTGCATCTATGATGCAATGTGTGCGTGCCTCCCCCGCCCCCCCTGCGGATGTGCATGTAATCCCCTATGTGCGCACCGTGTGCCTCTGCGCATGTGCGTTTGACCCCTCTGCATGCCTCTGCATGCGCACTCAACCCCCCTGCATGCCGCATGCCTCTGCCCATGCATGCACCTCCTACGCGCACATGTGCGGCAGATACCTGACAATCGGCTGGCGGGGGGTGCGCGCATGTGCAGTGGGGCTCTTCCGTGTGACCTCTCGTGCCACTTCTGGCATTCGTGCCATAGGTTCGCCAACATGAGCCTATAAGGGTCAGCAACCTGCGGCTCTAGAACCGCATGTGGCTCTTTCATCTGCTGCGGCTCCCTGTTGCTCAAAATATGTGTCACAGCCACCAATGTGTGTGACAGTCACGATTTATTGAGCTTTTCAACTCCTGGTAGGCCAACCCATGGGTAAATCCAAGAAAAGTAAAGTTTCAGAAGAAAACAGAATGCTTAATTCAACTACATATGCTAGTTTTGTGGCTGTTCAGGAAGTAGGTGCGGGAAGGGTTTTGTGGCTGCCGGTGTTTTGTTTTGTGTGGGAAACGGGTTCCAATGGCTCTTTTGAGTGTTTAAGGTTGCTGAGCCCTGGCCTATAAGGTGTCACAAGGCTTTGTGTTTTGTTTTTGCTGCCACAGCCTAACACAATTGCCTTTCCAAACAGTGAATAAATGTTTCCTGATGGGCTTTCATTCCATATTCAGGGTTTCCTCTCCTTATTTCTGAACTTGTGATCGTAACGATGTTTACTATCAACATCCCACATTAATGTATTAGGAATATTCTACTGTTGGAAGTTGAAACGGAGCAGCAAATGACTGAATTGTTCATTTCATACTTTGAAAAGTGGCTTGCTCAAGTCGCTCGTCCCACAATTCAGGCAGGCCTTGACTTAACGACCATCCTGGAGCGCAAACATTTCTGCGGTTCAGCGAGACAGGGGTGAAGTGAGTTTTGCCCCATTTGGTGACCTTTCTCACTTCAGTTGTTAAGTGAATCACTGCAGTTGTTCAGTGAGTAACCCGGTTGTTAAGTGAATCTGGCTTCCCCATTGGCTTTGCTTGTCAGAAGGTCGTAAAAGGAGATCATGTGACCCCGGGACACTGCGACCGTCATAAATATGAATCGGTTGCCAAACATCTGAATTTTGATCATGTGGTCATAGGGGTTGTAACCGTGAAAAACAGTAGTAAGTCAATTTTTTTCAGTGCCATTGTAAGTTTGAACGGTCACTAAATGAACTGTTGTAAGTCCAGGAGTACTTGTATCAGGAATTTCTCCTCTTGTCAAAGGTGTTAAGAGTTTGCAGCATAAATTCCACATCCAGAAAACACACAGATGACTGATTCAGCAGGATCCTAAACTTCTTTATAAACATAATAATATGAGTGAAGTTTACAATACCATTTATAGATTCTTTCAAAGTAACGTAAGCAAAAACACAAGCAGCAGCTCAGAGGACTCAGAACAGATTACTTTCAGTTTAGATGGCAAGCAAGTCAGTTTCTCTTTCACTTCTCAGCAAATCACACAGAGCCAAACCACACCCAGGCTGTCAAGCTCCCATTGGCTGGTCTGTTGCCATGCTTACTTTGTTAACCATGTCTCTGCCAGTTAATGAATATACTCTGACAAAAGGTAATCCGGTGATGAACACATAATGTACTGGTTCAGGCAACTGGAGAGAAATGGGTCTCCCCACGTTGGTGTCACACATGTAGTACTCGATTTATAGCAGTTCATTTAGTTACAACGGCACTGAAAAATGTGACTTACGACCGTTTTTCACACTTACAACCATTGCAATATCCTCATAGTCACGCAATCAAAATTCAGACGGACGCTTGACAACTGACCCATATGTATGTTTGCAGCGTTCCGGAGTTCACGTGATCCCCTTTTGCAACCTTCAGACCAGTGAAGTCAAGGGGGAAGCCAGATTCACTTAACAACTGTGTCACTAACTGAAGAAAGTTAGGGGTTCAATCAACAAGGTAGCTCTCTCAAAAGGTCATTCAATGGGGCGAAACCCTCTTCGACAAAATGTCTTGCTTCGCAGCAGACATTTTGGGCTCAGTTGTGGTCGAGGACAGCCTGCATTTTGTAGAAAAGATTTGCACCGTCTTGTTACCTGGAAAGGGGACTTCAATTCGGTTGGCGCCCTCGTGAATAAGAACTGGATGACGGTGCTGTATGCAATGATGTCTCCCACCGCTGGGCTGTTGGAGATATGCTCGCTTGTCTGGAAGAGCATTGGTCTGCGGGAGGAGGAAGCATGATGGCGAAGAGATCAGAACATGAAGGCTTTGGAACAATCGAGTAGCAGAAGGCTGATCATGGTGGATGGCGGAGTTACTGTAGAACTGGGCCACAGAGGACCCATTTAGAAGACTCCAAGCTCCCTTCCAACTCTGTTATTCTATTCTGTAGAAGCTAAGTTTCGTTTCCACAACTATACAGCATAGTGTCATGCCCCTGTCAGAGTCTGAATCCGAGGAGGAAGACGAACAGCTGACAGGGAGTGGGAATGTGGCTCTGTTGGCTGTGGAGGAACTGGGGAAGGGCAAAGTCCGGCTGGGCAGAACAGGAGAGAGGTAGAACAAGGGAGAGGGAGTTCAGAGGAAGAACCAGGCCCACCCCCCTCTTCATCCTAGGGCATACAGGGAGGAATGAAGAAGGGAGCAACGTGGGTTGCGTGGCTTACGGGGGAGGAAAGGGCCCTGATTCCCTTCATTAGCCATACCTGGGAAGAGATTTTAAAAGAGATGCATGCTGAGTGTGGCATCTGCAGGGAACAAACATGAGTTTATCTTGTGTTGACTTGGCTTATCTGTGTTCCTGGCGTCTTCCCAACCGTGTTGAGTTATTGCTGTACCTTCACGTCTGGAATTCTTACTGCTGCCCTGACGGACTAATTACCTCATTTTGCCTTGATTGGACTTATAGTTACAGTTTTTGTTGACCATGTTTTGGACTTGATTCCCTGCAGCCACAGGCTGTTCCTGTGAGAGTTTTTCTCCAGCCCAGAAAGTAACCAGGACATTGTGGGCAAAGTTGGAGCTAATAAAGGGACTCCTACTGATTGACTGTGTTGCCTTTGTGCCATGCCCTGGGTCATCACACATAGTCTTATTGAGTAAGAAGGGACCTTGAAGGTCTTCTAGTCCAACCATCTGCTCATGTAAGAGACCTTCTATCAGGGGCAGTGGTGGGATACTCCCGGTTTGGGCAAACCTCTAGCTCTGACAATCAGCTGTTGAGCGAACTAGTTCTCTCTGATGATTAAGTTGGTCCGCCCACTTGCCCCTGCGCTGTACTTCCCTATATCCTCTCAGCTGATTCGCGCAACAAAGCGGAGTGCCGCGTCTCAGCTGTATTACTTCCCAGAAGTAACATAGAAGGGAAGTAATTTTGAAAGCTCCCCAGGTGCGTGAAGTGCGCGATCACCGAACCGGTTGTTAAACTGCAGCATCCCACCACTGATCAGGGGTGTCAAACTCAAGGCCTGTGGGCCAGATCCGGCCTGTGGAGTGTTTAGATCTGTCCCACAGGGCCGCCCTGGAAATAGTGAAGGACTAGACTGGCCCATGGTGCCTCTTGCCAGCAAAATCGGAGCTCGGGAGGACTGCCTGCGCTTGCAGAGGCACTACAGGAGATCATTGTGGCTGAAAATGGAGCCTCGATGAGTGACAAGAGCTGGCCACGCCCACTCTGGCCATGCCCCCCAGCCCCCGATGCGGCCCTCAATGAAATCAAGTTTGACGCCCCTGTTCTAGAGTCTGTCATCTGCACCTCTATAACTGTCTGGTTTGGTTCTGTAACCCAACAGGGCAGACACAGACTTCAGAGGATAATTAGGACTGCAGACAAAACAATTACTACCAACCTGCCTTCCGTGGAGGACCTGTATACTGCACCCTGAGTCAAAAAGAGGGCTGTGAAAATATCTGCAGACTCTTCACATTCCAGACACAAGCTGTTTCAACTCCTACCCTCAAAACAACGCTATAGAGCCCTGCACACCAGAACAACTAGACACAAGGACAGTTTTTCCCCAAACGCCATCACTCTGCTAAACAAATAATTCCCTCAACACTATCCAACTACTGTATTTACAAAGTCTGCACTACTATTACTATTAATCTTCTCACCACTCCTTATCACACATCTCCTCCCACTTGTGACTTTATGACTGTAACTTTGTCGCTTGTATCCTAATGATTTATACTGACTGTTTCCTAGTATGATTTGATTGCTTATTGTACCCTATGACTATTAAGTGTTGCACCTGATGATTCTTGACTCTTGATGAATGTATCTTTTCTTTTTATGTACACTGAGAGAATTTGCACCAAGACAAATTCTTTGTGTGTCCACTCACACTTGGCCAATAAAGAATTCTGTTCTAGAAGGTTCTATTGATTATCATCCATTTCCAGAGTTTGAGTTTTGCCCCTAATGATACTTAACTAAGAGGAAATGCAGCATGCCACCATTTGCTCATTTGCTTGGGCGGGATGTCATACACCCTCTGTTTTCAAATCAAGTGGGTGATTGTTTGCAGCAACAGCTTCTTATTTTAATTAAGCCTTCCTCTGCCACCCCTGTTATAAATTCTCAGCTTCTAAGAGTGGGGAAAAAAGGTGGAGGGAGCCCTTTCTGGGACTGCGACAGCTCATTAACGCAAGAGGCGAGATTAAAAAATAAATAAATAAATAAAAGTCAAAAAGAAAAAAAAAGATACAATTGAGCTGACAATTTGCACGGCAAAATTTCCCTGTGTTTTAGTCACACACTGAATAAAACCTGAAAGTGGGGGAGGGAAATAAAAGATAATTGGTTGCTCATTTACATGGGATGCTTGCCAGAGGATTTTAATTAAAGCCTGCAAAAGTGAGAAGCCTCTGGTTTTCTTCTTCTTCTTCTTTTGTTGTTGTTGTTAATGAAAACAACTAAATCACAGTCTCAGCTGTTGAAGCATCACTTACCTGAATGATCTTAAGAGTTTGTAGGATTTTCCCAGGTCAGAGACGCGTCTGCAAAGGGGTGCCACGGCTAACTCCATCTGCAAGAGGAAATCGCTTGGCTTTAATCTGCTAATACGATTTATAAAATGTATAAATTATACATTTATAATGTGGCTTATTGATGAATGTATTTTTGCGAGGACTATGATCACGAATTATCGCTTATTTCTTGTGTATGTCTAATCACACTTGGCCAATAAAGAATTCTATTCTGTTTTGTTCTTACCGTTCTGTTCTGTTCTGTCCTATTCTATTCTATATTCTGTTCTATTCTGTTCCATTCCACATTTTCTATTCTGTTCTAATAATTCTAATTCTATATTCTGTTCTATTCTGATCTTATTCCATTCCATATTTTCTATTCTATCTAATAATTCTAATTCTATATTTTATATTCTATAGAATAAGAACTCCCCATCTCCTAGTGATTGGCTCAAAGTCACCCAGCTGACTTTCATGGATAAGGCAGGACTAGAACTCACAGTCTCCTGGTCATTGGCCCAAAGTCACCCAGCTGGCTTTCATGGATAAGGCAGGACTAGAACTCCCTATCTCCTAGTGATAGACCCAAAGTCACCCAGCTGGCTTTCATGGATAAGGCAGGACTATGACTCAATGTCTCCTGGTCATTGGCCCAAAATCACCCAGTTTGCTTTCATGATTAAGGCGGGACTAGAACTCCTGGTCTCCTGGTTTCTAGTCCATTGAGAAGAACTGATCTCCCACACAGGGAATCGGAGAGAGATGTTATCCATCTCAAAGGGAAACATAGCTCTTCTCCCTTCAGTCTCCAACGTGGAGGCCAGTTCAACAAAAGCAAGATCCACTTGGCGACACCGAGCAAATTTTCATAGCGTCCCAAATAAGAAGTGTATTTGTGGATTAAAACCCATCGAGTTTGTTACGCCTCTTCTACTATAGGGTACACTTTGCAGAGACTGCCACGCTAAATATCTGACACCTCTTCTGCTGAAATTCCCAGGCCATTTGGAACAATTTTACACGTCCTTGTTCCTGCTAGACAAAAATGAGTCTATCACGCGAAACATGGCAAAACTGTGTACGACGCAGCACATTGGGTTTGACAATGTCTAACATCAGCTTTTCTAACAGCTGGTGACCGACAAGTGGGCATAAAATTTAGCTCGTACCGGTCCTGTAATGAACAATTCATAACATAATGAACAATTTTTATGTTGCCATTTTTAAAAGCTTTTTTTTTTTTTTAAGGAATGATTGAACCTTCCTGTCTGTATTTGCTCCATTATTAACAAATTAGCTGAGTACCCGTGCTTCACTACGAAACGATGTGGTCAGGCTTAGCTTTGGGGGAGGAAAATAAGGGGGAAAAATTCTGCCTGTGCCTACCAGCATCCATCGGTATTCATCTGGCTAGCATCCTGTCAGTTTGTGAGAGTTGAGGGCTGTTTGGAAACTGAAAGCATATTTGTTGTGTGAGCAAGAAAAAACAGCAAGGAGCCTGGGCGTGGCTTAGCTCAACTGTTCTGTACTAAAGCTGCTTGGTGCTTGAAACTAAAACTGAAACTCCTCTCTTCTGCTTGTCTTTTGCATTTGGAAAAGATTTCTTTTCAGGTGGGGAGGGGGAGTAGAACTCCTTAGCATCAGAGCATGTTAATAATAATAATAATAATAATAATAATAATAATAATAATAATAATA